GTTTCAAGAGCAAGTCTGTAATAGCAGGTCACCGCTGTGTGAGCATGTACTTATTGTTTTTAAAGAGAAATAAAGGAACAGTCCTGAACACAGTGTTAGCTGCTGACTGTACTCGACAGGCAGCCGAAGCTAAAACTATACCGAGCTTCATCTTTACATTTATCCATCAAATGCATCCAGAAACGTTTTGGACCCAACTCATAGGAATGCTCTTCATCACCTCTTAGAACAAATGATAAAAATTCAACCACTCAGGAACAAAGGGCTAAATAGTGTTTTTTACACGCCTGTTTAACTGTTGTTTTGTTTTAGGTAATGATTAAATGTATTTTGGGTTTATTGTTTATTAAATAAATGTTTTTTTGTACCGTTTTAGAGCGCCTTCATTCAGACATACAACCCAGAGAGTTCACAGGACAATATTATAAAAGTAGAATAATAATAATTAGAAAGGCTTCATGCACCGTTCACCACAAAGTGAATTCCGATTTAAATGTTATACAGCAAATATTCTTTACATTTATCAAACATTTTGTTAAAAGTTTTGTTTAAAGCTGTTAAACAAACCAAGGAATCCTTAGTTATGATACAGGCAGCCAGGCTGCTGGGATTCCCATGATGCACTGTGTTTCTTCGCATGTTTATACACCACTTTAATTCAGTTATTAGTTCTTATTCATCTCTGGCTCTCTTCTCAACACTGCCTCGTCCCTGTTCTATTTTAAATATGAATAGATTTATCCAGACATTCACGTCATTTTCATGGATAGTAGCTATAAATGACTAGTGGGCAATAAATTAAAATAATCCAGTTCTATGAGGAAACTACGGCCTGGAAGCCCATAAAGAAACTCTTGCATTCCTGTCAATTGAGTCGCTCGTCATGAGGCCTCTCGCAGAGCTATGGGAACGGCCTGCAGGAATTAAAGTGGATGGACCGGGCACCTTTCTTTTCCATAACGGGGTGCTCAAAAATAAATAAAATGTAGATGAAAAACAGGCTGCACAAGCAAACCTCAGAGGGACATGACCACAAGGATTTCTGCTAGTGCTCTGTTCATCGGGGGGATTCTCATTAAAAGAGATGGACATGTGCACCCACAGTTTATGGTTGTAAGGTAGCCTATGGCCATGTTGTTTTCTGTTGTCTGAAATAACAGTCTTTGGATGAGAGGACAGCTGGAAAGCTGGATCCAATAGACAAACCAGTGACAAAATGCATGTCCACAATTAATGCCAGACTGACCAGATCTGCCTCCTGGATACTCTTTGCAAAGTTGTTGCCAGCAAAGTTAGCGTCCATGGGCAGGTTACCAGACTAGCTTTGTTAGAAATCACTGAACTCTCACATCCAGATGCAAAGTCTTTTAGACTCAAGTAGTTCAGGCAGTTCTCAGGTAGCCAGACCAATAAACCCGCTGAGTCTGTTAAAAACAAACAAAAGAAAGTATCTGAGTACATTTACAATTGAAACGTGTCTGTGCGTCTGTGTGCAACAGCTCATAAACATGTCCTGGCATGTCCTGCGCAGTACTGGAGGCAAAGAGTCGCGGATAGTCGTGACTTATGAGATGAATCGTTATCAGTTTTTAAAGTCACATTTTATTGACCATTAAATCAGTGTGATTTTCACTTTTCTCAATAATCAGTTAACACAGCAGAGCTCTCTAAGATCGTGCTTGTCTGTAGTTTGCGAGGCCGTGGGTAATGCTTTTCTCTGTCTGCCTCTAAAACTGTGTTTGAAGCCTCGTCTCGGATGAAAACAGCGATCAGGACTCGATCGTTTCTAAATGACTTGCAACACAATGTTCCCTGGAATAAAAAAGATTCCCTCACCCTCTCACATGTTCCCAAAGTCATCCAGCTGGCTGGGCCGGACTCGGCACGGCTATAAAACTTCAAACCCGCATGGAGCCGTTATTGTTTCCATGCACAGGTTGAGAAGTGTTTGTAATTATATGATAGATTAATTGCTAAATAAATGAAAGCATCTTGTGGAAAATGACGTGTTTATCGTCGGTTGTCTGTGGCTCTGGCATGAATTCAAAACACGGTAAAATCCCCAGAAACATTACTCTAAACGATATCCCACGTGCACAGATCACTTTCATTGATGTCGCTGATGTTCTGTGATGTGAAGCATTTATTTTTAACGATCATGAAAAAGGAAGGTTTATGTAATTTCTCCACATAATGGGAACAAACTGACCGTAAATTAACTCTTAACTATATGTCACGTCTGGGTGAAAAAAAAGATGCCTTCAAGTTAATCGGTGCGTTCAGACCTAACCGTGGCAGCACACTCAGTGTGGGGCATGCAGAGGGGGTGGCAGGAAGACAGCTCCAACACCTCCAGGACACGCGATCAAAGAGGCTGGCGCACAGACAGCTGCGGCGGCGCACTTCTCATCAAATCACACGGCACGGCACGGACCGGCCCAGGCTGCGCAGGGGTCACAGAATCCCCAAACAATCTTTTTATAAACACACAAAAGAACAACAGGTGTTTTCTTCACATCACTCAAACCCACAACGGCTCTTTCAGCACGATGGAAAAAGCCACGAAGGAACTGGACTGTGATGATGAAGATGACAATGCAGTCGTCTTTCAGCTGTCAGATTCCCGATGAAGGATGTATTATCTGAATTGACATTATTGGTGACTCATGTAGGATTTGTGCATTTCGCAAAAGACATGAGAAGAGAGATGAATTAATCATGAGACATGAAGTGAATCAATGAACCCTCGACGACAATTTTACAGTCATCAAGACGACTGCGATCACTATAAATAAGGCGGTTTGACTGAATGAAGCCTTGGGGTCCAAGCATTTGGATCAAAGTGTTCTTCTGTGGATGGGGCAGGGGCTTGGATATTTACGTCATAAGAGCCCATATTTAGGTTTTAGCATGAAATATGTTAGTAAGTGCCAAATGGCTAACAAAACTGCAGGAATGGGAGCATTGCATCCACTTGGTGAGCTGGTATCACATCCGAACAAGGCCCGAAGTTTACAGCAACGTGTCCTCCAGCCTCCATCTAAACATGGCTCCATGAACACGTTTCTCCTCACTGATCTTGAGCTCTGATGGAGCTCGGTACTGCCTGACAGGAAGGAAATGGCATGGCTTTGGTCTCTATTTGCTATTTATTACAGCAGCATTTCTCAGAGGCACCAGAGGAAGGATTTGGTGCTTGTGTGTAATTGTATTAACGCCCTCCCACATACTGTCCCCTGTGCATCTTCTGTCTCCTCTCCTAATCTGTGCTGTTTGTCTCCAGATAAGTGATATCCTCCTCAGATTAGGATCCGGTGTCCCTGCTCTGCCTGCCCGAAGGGAAAGGGATCCCCAGTGTATCCCGTGGGGTGCGAGCAGTATTTTTAGCTTCCTAATCCTTTTATAGTTTGGGCTGAAAACATCACCCTTTTGCCTAATTGGTCCAGTTCATTACCGCACAGTACGCCACAGAGGAAGTGCTTCATCTGGATCCTTTCGGCTATTTGGTTTTGCAATATGCTGGTTTTTGGTGGGGCATAAATTTCTGAGCCGGATTCGTCTGTTCCTAAGCAACTTTGATTTGTGGAAGGGAGGCTATCACCGATTTTATTGCCCTTCAGCGCAAGGACATCTCCTATCATGCTGGAAACATTGCACTGATAGGATCTGTACATCATCAGCACTAAAAAACAACCCAACCCGCCCCCCACGCACATATTTTCAACGGAGTTTAAGTTCACAACCCTTTGAACTGACGTCCGCTGCAGATGATTTTTTAACGATCCCACAACAGGCCAAACTTTGTTGAATAATGCATGATCCCTTGTAAGAAACACTTTCCTGCTAAGTCTGCAGAGACATACTGACGTGAGAACAGAGCTGTTGTAATCTTTGGCTTAGGGTATGTTTTCTTAGCTTATCAGCATCCTCACGTGTACGTGGGTCATTTATTTCACTCCCCAAATAAAAACAGCAATCACTGTCACTGTTCTCAGAGCACAAATGTACGACATGAGAAAGAGAAATAGATTTCTGACCTTTTTATTTTGTCAGCAGTTTAAAGCGCTCTGTACTGTAACCACAGCCAAGTTGACCCCCGTCCCCGAAATTCACAGTGAATTCAATTAAAGCAGCTCGGACGCCTCCATCAGTCACTGAACAACCTGCAGTTCTCATACGGTGTTTGCTGCTTTAAAAGTAAACACGAGAGAACCTCTGGAAGAAAAAAACACACATTTCTTTCTTTCCTGGCACAAAGTCAGACGAGTTGGAGACTACGCTCAGTTCAGCCTGTTAACTGATACAGCAGGTGGCCTGAGGCTTGAACACAAAGCACATTTCAATCAGTGAATTTTGATGATCGTGAACAAACTTTCTTCAAACGGTTTTCTTTCCCTGCTTGATTGCACTTGTAAACTGCAAGAAACTTTCGCCAGAGCCAATTTGTCAAGTCTTCTGCACGGTACACAGATGTTTTCAAAGCCCACCATCAGCCATCGTGCAGCTAATTTAGATTCTCCCTATCAACAGCTACAACTCTGAAAAATGCCTTTCACGTGTGACTACTTGAGGAGTTCATCAAACCTTTGCTGAGCTTATCCAAAGCTGGTTCTTTGGAGCTCGAGTTGCTCAACATCCCGTTGAGTCCAAGATATCTGACAGCTAAGATTGAGTGTGTGATTGCCAGAGACAAGCAGAGGAATCTGCCAGAAATTTTGCAACAAGCTCCAGTTAGAGGAGAGAGTTTAGTAATGGTGGTCCCTGTTCAGAGAGCGTCAGAAAGGTGCTGAAAACTGAAAGAAGAAGAAATACTCGGGCCAGAAGGAGCATAAAGACCCACTGGCTGTGGCTTTCCCACAGCATAACAGCTGTAATGAAACGCAGTCTCGTTCACGACACCGAACGGTGTTTCCTCTGCAAACTGGAGAGGCTGGCTTAATCCTGAGCTCATCACACTGCTCTCCACCAGCTTCCCCTCATCTTCAATGATGGCGACATGCTGTGCTTCAGTATTCTTTATTGTTCAGTACTGCAGTGCATTATCACCATTGCTCTTATTCCATATATTCTCATTGTCAGCCACATCCTTTAGTTCACTCCAGTGCCAAATAAAATGTAATGAAGTCAATGACAGAGCATAACATCAGTATAACAGTGGGAGTCTTATATATGGATGAGAAAAGAAGCTTCTTCCTCATCCATAACTGTAATAACCAAAAAGGAATCAAATTTTGAATAACTGTGAAATTATTATATACATTCCTTCTCAATAAATAGGTGCATTTAATATTAAATTAATATTTCTTTACAGATACATGGTATATACAGGTACATCCATTCAAAAACATCCAACGGCGTCCGTCGATCACAGCGAGAACAACAGAAAGTAGAAACACTAGAAACACAACCACGTTCTCATGACTGCTGTGGGTTTGAAGGCACTTCCTTGGCACCACGTCGATCCTTCTTCTGTTATTCTGGGACCTGCAATCAAAAGAAAATACAAAACCTTGATGAGAATGAACCGTCACTCCTTCCTGCATCCTTTCGGACTGCATGTTTGCTTGTGGCTCCCAGAGTTTGTAGAATGGGAGGCAGAGCGTCTTCTGTGGAAGCAGCTCCCACTGTGGATCCAGGAGATAGACACCCCCAGCGTACATGCAAGTTCAGGCTTTTCCTTACAGTTAGGATCAGGTGACCCTGAGGCATCCTTTAGTTCAGCTGGAACAGGCTCCTTTTCACTCCCCACGTGTTTGTGCACCACTGCTGCACGCCATTACACTGCTTCTTCTTCTTCCTGTCTCCCACGCTCTATTTCTTTTCTATTTGCAAACGTGATGGTTTTCAGAAGCTCCTCTGCTAACAGTTAACGACTGCTAGGCTAGCTACAGTAGATTTGTTCATTACTAAAATTTTGCAAATCAGATTTTCCCTGCAAGGCAAACAGAAGAAGGTTCTCCGCAGGCTAAGACGCCCCCGCAAAGCAGGAACTGTATTTAGAAAAACTAAAACTAGAAAACTAATTATACTTCCACGTTCACCTCCAACACCTCCATGCAAATTTTTGTTGTTTTCCACTCAAAGATGTAATTCTGCTAACATCTCTATTAAGAAATGACCAGAATGACGACATAACGAATCCTTTAATATTCCCTCTGATTGTTACATTTGTCAGATTTCACCGACAGGATCTTATTATCTGATTCACTTGAGAAACTGAATACCTGGGATGTGTCAGCCTCTTCAAATTTATAATCACCAACTCCACTACAGAAAAATCCAATGAACCAAGATGACCGCTTGTAGAGATGAACTGTAAGAGCAATCACTCTCCAGCTAATTTCCTGTACTGAATGTGTGCGTTTACGCTGCTGCATTTAGACAGCAGTGAACCCTTCAGACCTGCTGTCACAGAAGATCAATTTTAAAAAGGCCTGACAACGACAGCGTCGTAAATTACTCCACTGATGTCCGTCCTCTGTCCTGAGAGCGGTCGTATTAATAGATTTAGTGTGAGGAAGTACACGAGTGGCGTTTCTCCCACGAACGTCGGGAAGCAGTGACGTTCATGGAAAAAGACTATATATACACACACACACACACATATATATATATATATATATATATATATATATATATATATATATATATATATATATATATATATATATATATATATATATATATATATATATATATATATATATATATATATATATATATATATGTATGTATGTATGTATTTTTACTTTAACCCCTCTGTTGTTGTGGATGCAGGAGACCACGGGTGAAGTCTTATTATCTCTGTGTGCCATTTTCTCACATGTGCTTGACAACATGAATTACATGCTCTAATGTGCATGTTTGGCATAAAGAGAACTGAATGTATAAAATCTGCATCTCTGTTCTTTCTGACTCTCACTCCAGACCTAAATTTAAACCCTGTTCTGACAGGCTAGCATGTCATCAAAGCATACAGTCTTCTTAAGTAAAGAAATGTTGAATTTAACATTTCTACTTACGTGAAAAATCCCCCCCCCCAGCTCTGTATCACACATTCAATTAAGCTGACCAAAAGCAACAAAGACCTCTGAATTAATATTTCTGTCTTCTTTAACCTTGTTTACTGTCTATTCAGAGGATGATGACAACAAATGATGACAGTCAGGAAAGCAGGAAAAACTTACATGCAATATCTAGGACTGCATGCAGAGTGGACTCATCGCTAATCGTGTTAGCAATCTCGCACATCGTTTGTAATCTGGGGAGAAAAACATGATGTTAATATAACGCCTCCCTGGTAACCATATCAGTAAAAAACAAACATGAAAAGTTTTGATTTGTGGTAAAAATAGTAACGTAGACATGAGGTCTCAGGTTCACAGTGAAATACTTGTTAAACCGTGTTTTGCTGTGGCATCTATAGTAAAGTATACTTAACTTACTGGTAAAAGATAAAAAGCCAATTATACGTATGTATGTGTGTGTGTATATATATACATACACACATACATATATAAAAAGAAATAGACCTAAGAGAAGGTTCTGAGCGCTGCTGCCACATGATAACTCCTGAAATACAAACAGAGTCCCGTTTTCTTATGAGGCGCCGTTTGTAAAGTGAAACATGCTGAAATTAACGGCAACATTTTTCCACATTTAGCTCAAAACAAGTCATTTTTTACAACATTTAGTAAAATATTTGTAACTTTTCATATTTAAAAAAGAATTTTAAATGTTAAATCTAAATATTATATTTAAATCTAAATCTAAATGTTAAATCTAAATGTTATATTTAAATCTAAATGCTAAATGTTAAATCTAAATGTTTGGGCTAACATGCAAATTTATTGCACGGATCAGCGGAAATACCAAAATAAAAGCTTTCCGAAAACCTCCGGTGCAAAAGTGTGCCGGTAGTGGTCAGACACGTTCTCACTCCCAAAGCATAATCATTTTTGCTAGGTGACAAATTGTCAACATTTTATGCTTTCGGGTACGCAACACGTTCCTAAATTACGGCATCGGAAAAAGGAGAGCACATGAGAACGGTTTGGACTCAATCTACACGTTCGTTCATTTTCTAAAAATCGATTTGGAAAACACTATTTTACGTCATTTAACTGCTAGTAAAGGTTAGGAATAAGGTTATAGTTAATAAGGTTAGGTTTAGGGCTGGAACGTCTATTATGGCGGGACCGTCATTCCACTGGAATTCAGCCATAACCCGACCATGAGAAAGCACGTCCGGCGATTTAGCTGAAAACATCGGAAGATCCGTTTTGTCGGCCATCCAAAGGTTCAGCAGTAGTGCACTCTTAGCAGCTGCAGTCTTCACTTCACAATCGCTGCAGCACATGTCCAGCAAAATCGCTGGACATGCTCGTAGGCAAGAAGTGAAGCAGCACATGGCGGGGAGAAGTGAGGAGGAGAACAGACACAATTTTGCACCGGAGGTTTTCGGGAAGCTTTTATTTTGGTATTTCCGTTGATCCGTACAATAAATTTGCATATTAGCCTAAATATTTAGGTTTAACATTTAGATTTAACATTTAGATTTAACATTTAACATTTGATGAAAAGTTACAAATATTTTACTAAATGTTGTAAAAAATTACTCGAAAAAATATGTTTTTGTAAGGTTTTGAGCTAAATGTGGAAAAATGTTGCCGTTAATTTCAGCATGTTTCACTTTACAAACGGCGCCCCATATTTTCTGACCCTGACATCTGTAATATCTGCGTGACATGAACTGCGTCCCACAATCCTCTGGGCCAACCCAGCATTCTGTATGTGATCCATTGGCCAGCATTGTCTCACTATTGTCAGGCTTTAAATAAACTTCCTTAACCTCGGGACAATCCTGATTATGTGATGTAGTTTGATGCCTGTTTGACTCGGTCACATGTGTGAAAGGCATCAGGAAGAGGAGGAGCTTCTCGCTCTAATTTATTGTGTGACAAACGCACACCACCCAGCATTACCGTCTGCTCTCACTGATGATGTCTGTGGCTTCCTCATAATTCCCATATCATTAATATCCCAGAAGGAAGACCGGGATTTTCACAATACATCACCAAATTGTCTTAACAACAGAATCAAATAATAAAACATCGTGTTTGAGCTTTCAAATCCCTGCGGCGCGTTAGCTCTGTTTACTTTTACTAGAAACCCTCGGCGTTATCGTGTACAGCTCAAGTGTCAAACTCGTTTTATTTCAATGCTGCGTGTGCGCAGGTTTGATCTCAGAAGTAAGAACGATTGTATAAGAACTTAAAAACACACTCACAGTTTTTTTACATAACGTGAACGATTCATTTCCAGTGTAGCTGCGATTTCTGCAGTCAGTCTGCTCTTGTAAATCACACAGTTTAGTGTGGTACTGCAGGCCGTGGGTCACATCGCTGTCACAAAGAAGGCTGACAGTGATTCAGACTTCTGTTTGGACAGCCGCTCTGATATGATCCCCTATTCATTAGGGGCGGGGGAAAAATCGATACTGTGTAGTATCGTGATATCTTGTTTGCTAATAATGTATCGATGCAGGGACAGCAGAAATCGATATTTTGTTACAGAAAAAGGTTTTTGTGCTGACTTCAGAGCATGTTGGTCCTTTTTCTGAGCAAGCATCCTGACATTCCTTCACTGTCCAAATGTGTAACTTGTTTTATGGCAGCAATAAACACGACAGTTTACTTATTTTAATTTAAGACATGTTTTATTTTAATTAAGTTTAAAACTTTTTTATTTAATGTAAAATTATATTTTGTTTTAATTTACTTTCAAATTCTTCAGTTGCTGAAGGGGCTGCATAGTTTTCATATTGCATAGTTCAGAATAGCTGTAATTGTACCAGATGGTTGCATTCAGTTAAGTTGGACTAGACTGTAATACAAACCGTTCAGTTTGTCAACAATAAAACTGAGATGAGAGAAAGACTGAGTGCGAGACTTTGATATTAGATAAAATCAATATTGATAAAGTTTACCTTTATGGACAGAATCTGAATATCGCAAAATATTTTAAAAAATTGCAATAATATCGTATCGTGCGTTAAGTATTGTGATAATATCGTATCGTGCGTTAAGTATTGCAATAATATCGTATCGTGCGTTAAGTATTGTGATAATATCGTATCGTGGGATGTTTGGTGATTCCCACCTCTACTATCTATGCTTCTGGCATAAATACAGATACGATAGCCCTCAATCATTACAGTTTTTACTCCCTAAATGTTAGCCAGCGGTGGTGTATATCCCCCTCATCCACAAATCAAAATGACTTTATAATTTAAGAACAGTTTAAAGCAATAAAGTTTGTCTTATTAAGCACAGAGTTTAGCACTCATAAACTGAACTCGGATCAGGTTTGACTGGTAGTTGATTTAAATGTCATAGTGTGACAACTCCAACCCAAACAAACTGTTAAGACGTTACAGTAAACCCGTAAAAGCAGGTTTTGAGGAAGTGCAGAGATCATCGAGCACATCAGCAGAAACAGAACAGGAGAAGAAGTCATACATACATGCTGGTGTCGAGCAGTCCCTCGTGTTGTGATAAACTCTATGAAAGTGTGTTTTGCACTCCGATGAGAACTTGACTGGTCCTGCTTAACAGAAAAAGGTCTCATCAGATAAAACAATCATTTTTGAATCTTATTTGCAGGTGTAATTAAGCTTACAGTTAATGTGAACAGACATGTGTTACTAAAGCTGGACCTGGCCTTAGTGTGCAGGGGAATCGAGTCTTCAATTAGAAGCACATCTAACATTTAAGCTTCCAGATTTTCACATCACTCATGAACCCTGCACATAGTTCCTGAGACAAATAATCAGCTTAATGTGCCGCTGCCTTCAGCTTAATACTGTCAGCTTCAGACCATGTGCTGTTTCTCAGCACTGCTGCCCTACAAGCAACCCTTTCTTAACTTACTGCAGCCCCCAGTGTTCGTGATGTTTTCTATGACCTGAGCAGACTGCATGCTGGCTTGGAAAGAAAAGGATTTTTTCACAGGGGCAAAAGGAGGAATTTGCACTGGATTAGTGCCATCGATGCTGGGACAGTTAGTTGTCAGAAACAAACGGTCTTGCATTAGAGACAGAGTTTGTGCTCCTAGTGTCGTCTTTGGTTTCTTACCTCCAAAATGCTCAATGATTTTCTCTTTCATGTTTGCATCTCTGGAAAAGATTTCTGTAAAAGAAACTCACTGTTAGCTTCTCACCATCTGAGCAAAGTTATGCATGAACCACAGTGACGGAGGGATCGTCAGTGTTAACAGTCTCCCTCCTGCATCCTGCATTATGTTTCAATAATCTCAGCAGTGTCGCTGCTTTACGTGACGATGCACAGCTGCTTTGCATTATTAATAACTTTGAAATGTTTTTGGATTTTACTGCACACGTCCCAACTGCAGAATCATAAATGAACATTATTCATTCTCTATTAAGTTCCTCAGATGTGCACCAAATGTAGTTTTTCTCCAACTGATTGACACACTCGTGTTTTTGTCCACGGTTTGCACTCTGAGGAAATTTTGTGTATTCATAAAGACACCAAGGACCTCTGTTTGTATTAACTGTCCATCCAGGCAACACAATGGCCATGCTTACAGGCTAAAGAGATTATTGTATGGGAGTTTAATGCCCATCAGAAGAAGTAAGTAGCTACATTAACCCTCCAGCAAGAGATTTGTGCAATGCTCTACGGGGGGATAAATATGGAAGAAAATCACTTAGATGCACTAAGAAAAATCACAGAGAATATTACAAAATTAATTTAGGAAGACGGACAGAAGACAACCCATAAGAGCAACACGAGTCAGGTTTTCAGGGTCTACATATGTGGAGGATTAGTGAATGTGTCGACACTGTTTTTAGCTGCCAGTCCTAAACTGTAACAATGTAACAGATAAAACCAGCTAGAAAATAAGTGCCTGGCTTCATGGCGTGTTTCTTGAAACAACCGTAGCTGTAGAGGAAGAGGTGAGTGTGCCGCACACATCAGTGGATTTATCGATGTTTCTCTTTCCTCCTCGTTGTGTTCAAAACATCCATCCTTGCGTGACCACAAATCTTTGGTAGCGTTGCACGCACCGCTTGCTAATGTGCTGCTTTTTATATCCTCAAAAGATGAATTCCATCCAGTCAGTGGTCTGAAAGGTACTTTTCCAACTGCATGAGCTGGAGCCAAGATTTTAAACTGTATAACGCCTGCACAACATCTCTACGACAGGATCTAATTGATAGTGCTGTTGGACACAGTCTGATATTGGAAATAAACAGCACATTATGTTAACTTAGCCCTTAATATACTCCCACACATACCAATGAGGCACAGCCCTCGACTACTCTCTGAGTCTGTTAAAGCGATAAAAACAGTTGCATAAAAGGATTTTCTGGATTCCTTTTCTTTATCACATTCGAGCACACCTTCTTTGCCAGGTTTTAGATATTTGAAGAGTTGCAGCATTAATGCAGATTTACTGAAATGTCTGAGACGACTCAGTTTTAGTAAAAATCCTGTTAAATGTCGCAAGGGCAACATTCAGTAACATGCTCTGGATAGTCTTCCCAGATAAATAAAGTCCAGTGTTTATAGTCTCCTCATACAGGCTCTTCATTCCATAACGGTCAAAAAAGTATTTTAGTTAGAGTATCGCTGATGCAATGCCGTGTACGTGACACAGCACAACCAGTCTGCTTTATCTGCTCTGTCTGCAGACGTGAATGTGACCGGAGATGCTTTCCAGGACACTACAGTGCCTGTGTGCATGTTGGGCGCTCATCACTCACGTTAAAGAGTCCAATCATACTGAATGACTCATTCACAAGTTTAGCATCACCATGCCCCTCCTCCCTTAATTAGCCTATCCACATCTCCATCTGTCCAACAGTCAGTTAAACACGTGTTGAAGAAACATGGTCAGAAAACAGGTCTTCAAAATGAAGCACACCTGCATTGTGTTCATGGAAACCACTTTAAATTTAGCTGGACACTTGAGGCCAGACGGATGTGGATGCTGACCTCTCTGAGCACCAGTGACACACAAAATTACAAAATTTAACTCGAACAAACCAGTTTCCATTCAGCTAAAAGAAGCTCTTGAATAAGGCGTGCAGCACTGCCCAGAACACTGACAGCTGTCCCCAACTGTAAAATGGGGATTATGCCTTCATCATCAGAACCTAAAAATAAATCTTATCAGCTTACCTGAGAGTCTACTGTTATCCAGCCTAGGGACATAGAAAGGCTTTTCCCGGGAGGAGAACTTCATGTCTTGTGCTGAAGTGAAGAGTCCACTGCTACAGCGCCTGGAGATGGGTTTCTCCCGTTGCTGGCTGTCTCTGATAACCTGTAAGATTAGATCCAACAGGGTTCTTCGTTCTTTCTGCTTGTCCTCCTTGCTGTCCATACACTGACCCGAAGTGATGAGCAGAAAGAAGATAGTGAGCAGTACGTGCCATTTCCTTTCCACCTGCATGACTTTACTGTCTGAAAGCATGAGCAGACGGGTTTTGTTACACGAAAGTCATTACACGAAAAGAAATGCCTCATTTGTTTGACTGGACTGACCAAAAACACACTTGGACAGTTTGCATTATGATTTACATGAAGGGACGAATCAGCACTGATATTTGAAGTCCTTCACATTTTCATTATTACAGCAAAATTAATAAAATCTGCATGTTGGAGATAAAATAGGTAACTTCTAAAAAATCTCCACTTTCCCCTTGTTTAATACAAGAGTAACGCAAATGCATTTAATTGAACTTCAAACTTACTAGTTTAGGAGTTAAAGATGCTTATGTCCTGGAGGGTGGACACAGTTGTCTTCAGCAAATTCTTCCGATCCGATAGGAGAGAAAGCCAACAGATTGTGCTCACCACCGTCTTTCTTGAAATAATGCGTTCCTATTTATACGAGGAGCCACCTTCTTGAAGGTAATACAATCGATTTTGAGTGGGTGGTAAAGCAATGTTGACATCTTTGGTGTAATTTCTTCCAGTGGCACTCGCTCACTTAGGCATGAGCCACTCCTTTACGCACCAAAAACATCACTAGTTGTAGTTGAACGGGACAGGCTACTTGCAAATAAAAACGACCCTCTTATAGATGCAATAATGGGCGAAGATCTGAAAAAGTCCCCCGTGCACTATAACTTCCATTAAAAAAGAAAGAAAAAAAACCCGACAAAGACCGTGGCGCGGAAGCGCACGAGTGTCCACTTTTCCAAAAAGAGCGACTTGTTGGATGTTGGGTGCAGAGAAGTGAAGAATCTGTGGGCATGTGAGCTTCTAGCTGACCTGTCAGCGTGCCGATGTTTTTGCTCACCGATGTCCAAGTCTTGTGACCGCCTAAGCGCCGCAGATATTGCGCCTCCTGGAGCAGCCATCCGGCTTTTTCCCACACATGCTGAACAGAGTCATGTAACAACCGTGTATAACTCTAAAACTTTACCTACAGGTGTGGCAGGGTTAAGGAGTGGTGTAATTAGTGGGTCGCTACATTTCAGATGCATCTGATACAGACACACCTGCTGACTCAGCTGCTGGAACTGTGACTCCAATCCAGTTTAAAATACAAAGTTTGTATGAGTGTAACAATGAGGCAAATCTATTAATGCGTGAAGTCTTCAGATTGAGTCATTGTTTCATGTGTATTCAGTTATTATCAGGCTTCTATTTGTGCTTACAGAGATCCACGTTTGCGCTTTGCATGCATTCACGTCACCTAGTTGCGTAAAGAGCTCATGTGGAAGCTTTAGATGTGCATTTCGTCATTCGATGTTTATTGGTGGTTTAAAAAGCACAAACGCGAGGAGGAAGATGACATTACTGTTTTTATTATTGTTGCTGGTGTAGATGTTTATATGTTTTTATATTAATTGTGGAGAAGAAGCACTGTGCGTCAGGTGTTGGTCCCCATCGCTTAGCTTTACCTGAACATAACCACTGTCTTCTGGGGCGCTCAACTGGAGCCCAAAGGTATCTTGACACCTTTGGAGGGTATGCGGAGCGAAACACGACTTTCAACGCGGACAGACTTCCTGTGTTACTGTTACTATGGAAACAGACCACGCACTGAAGGCTGAGCTAACGTTAGCTGTAGCTAACCTTGGTTTAGTTTCGGCTCCGTGGGACCTTTCTTTGGTTAGAGACACGTTTTCTATCCGCGGAGGCAAAAATATGTCGCAAAGGTAACCTGTTCAAAAGCCACGTGCTTGTTGTTGTGAAGTGTTTAATGTTTGCTTGTTGTGCGTAAAACGTGAAAATATCTGTGCCCAGTAAGTCAAACTAAAGAAAGTATCGCAGCAGGGATATTTCAAATTTAGCAGCATATTTGATCACAGAATAAATAAAGCGTCTTATTATTATTGTCAATCCCAATGAGTAATGAGACTCCAGCTGAATAGCAGCGCTGACACGTGTGCTGGTTTCTGCTCTTTAAATATTTAGCTTTGTTGTTATTCGCATTTGCAAGTCATGATCGTTTATTCTTGTTATTCTTTGAACAATCACTAACCTGCATTATGTACCTTTCAGGATTCTCACTCTCATATATCATTGTGATGTTATTTATTCTATTACTCTTGTTCTCTTCTGCTTGTTTTCTTTTTTCTTTCTCAGCAGGTGACCCAGGTGTGCATTTTTTTTCTCTGCCCGTTTTGTTGGTTTTTGTCTTTTGCCCTTCTCCCCCGTCCCTCTTCTCAGCTGTTTCTCTTTCCCTCTTTCTTTCTCCCCTTCTTTCCCCCAGTCAAGTCTGTCCCATATTCAGTAAGTGAAAATAAAATAAACAATAAAAGGTGAATCAAATGGACCATTATGGCAAGGCTGGGATGGTCAATTTGGTAAAGTAAATCCGTTGGGCATCTTTCTTTGCCTTTAGACAACAATTCTGATGCAAAAGAGCCAAACGGGACAGGCAGAAAAAGAGAGAAAAAAAAAAGAATTCAAATCTACTTGTTTGCTAAAGTTAGGAATACTTACATTTTAACACTGTCAACCCTTAAATGAGTAATTTTGGTAGTCTGACTTTCCAGACTGATAAATGTCACTGAATTAAACATGAAAACATTAAAAAGGGGTGTGCATCAAAGCTTGGATCCAAATGCAGACCCAATGGACAACTGTTTCTTTAGAAAAATAAAAGCTTAATGGACAGAGTTTTACGAGGAGCGAGCGCCATACGGGGTGAGTTCACTAAAAGAGAGGAAAAGGTGGATTAATCCAGTGAATGTGAGCAGGGACGTTGAGGTGAAGAAAAAGAAAAAAAAAAAAAAAAAAGGATTCTCACTCACAGACTGTTCGTTCTGGCACAAACTCATCAGATTGCTTCCACTTTTTCAGGACATACAACCAGCTGTGGGCAGATGCCCAGTTAGAGCTGAGCTGTCTGCTAGAAGAAGAACTACCAGCTGAGCCCCCGCGCCCTGAAAAAGACAGAGTCGTTTTCTTCCAGCGTCTGGCCATGCTTTTTGTGCGCTACACCCAAATCTTCAGACAGCTGGAGAAAGCCTATGACCTGGTGGTCCACCCTCAGAAGAGGAGATTTATTCATTCAGCTCTTGAAAGTGTGATGGGAAGAGTGTTAGAGCTGAAAAATGAAATGGTGGAGAAAGAGTTTTCAGAGTACCACTACATGGATGATGTGCTTCATGATTTGAAGCTCATACCTGTACGTTTGATTTCTGAGTTCAAGATAAAACCAAATTAAGCTTCCGCACACCGGCGCCCAGGGCCAACATAGTAACCACTGTTTACTCTGATGTCCTGTTAGGCCGACCTCGAGATCCCCATCCCTCGCTACTTTCACAGTGAACGCAGCAAAGAGGTGCAGCAAAGAAAGGCCATGCTGACTGACATCCTGAAAATGGCGGAGGTCACTGAAACTCCTGAGGTGAGTGGAAAAGCAGCCAAATCTTTTAAAGCCCTGAAACTTTCTCGCTTAATTTGTTCCTGTCATTTTGTTACACGCTTATGCAACAACTGTTACATTTAATGAGCCGGCGTCATGCAGAAGGTGTTCCCGTACTTTTGTCTGTTCTATTTTTGTCCCCACAGCCTGTAATGGCCAAGAAGATGAGTCAAGAGGAGGCAGTGAAGATTATTCAAGTGGCAGAGCGGGCACGACAAGGACGTGAAAGGGCAAAGTTCAACATGAAAAACTTAAATATGAACACCATGTACAGGATCAAGGAACCTGGAGCAGAAAGTGCTGAATCCGCTGCAGTCTGCATCCAAAAGGTCCATCGTTACTCACACACCACGTGTCACGTGCCATCTTCTTTTTCTGTGCAAGCACTCGTTCATGCTCACAGGTATAATTGAATGTACTCGCAGGTGTGGAAGGGCTACGTGCAGAGGAAGAGGACAAAAATTGCCAGAGAGGAGGAGATGATTCTTCTGGGAATGGTGGGTAAAATGCGGCTTCATCAAGATACTTTTTGTTTATAAGGAAACACTAGAGTGCTGAATTTTTGTTCTAGAATATGGATCCAAAGTATGAGGAGCCACGCCCTGCGGAAATGACGGCCCAGGCCATCGCGGCTTCCACACGAGTAAAACAGATGGAGCACGAGGAGGCTTACCAAAAGGCCACAGTGGATGTCATGAACCAACTACGGGATGTGGAAGGGGACGACATGAGCAAAAGCATGAAGGTGCAAATTCAGCAGTGGTTCACTGAGTGCCGGTAAGCTGGCAGAGAGTTTGTTTCCATGATTTTTGCCTCTGGTCACGGAGCTTTTTCACACTCGGTGGGTTTAGTTTCACGTTTGAATCTTCGATGTTTTAGCAATGCTACAGGAACATTTCCAGACTACCCAGATGAAGAAGATGGAGGTTCTGCCCTCATTTTTGCTGAAAAGACCCCTCAGCAGGTAGAATCCAGTCTGATTTAAAGGTTTTATTCGTGCTTTAATATTGTTCGTAAACAGTGGTGTTGGTGGGTTTTTTAGTTGTTGGAAGAATTTGCTGCAAAAGAAGAAGAAGAGGCCAACGCCAAAGCTAAAGGAAAAGAAGAAAAGAAGGAAAAGGGGAAAAGTGACAAGAGGAAGGAAGACGAGGAGGTGGGGAGACACCGCTGTTTTTAATTTAGTAGAACAATCTGTAAAATGATTATTACTGTATCTTAGATAAGAATATAGCAAAATGTTGAGCTCAATCAAAGCAAAACCAAACGCTTCACTTTGTGTTCATCGCTGTAACTGCATCACGATCAGGTGGAGGAGGCAGGGCTGAAGATGCTGCCCTCTGCATTTCTGCTGGACCTCGAAGTTGAAAGTAAAATCTACGCAGGTACGGTCCAGCGCCAAACACTGACAGTTTGTTTAAATGTTAAAAACCTTTAACACTAAAACTCGTGATTCACATCCAGTTTGCAACAAAGCGTAAAGGTTTTTGTTTGTTTTGGCCAATCATGAGTCTTTGTGAGTATCACAGTTTATCCTGATGCATGCTGAGTCATGCAGGTAAGTAACTCTGTAAGTTCTGTTCATCTGGACGTTTTCAGTTTCGTCGCTCATCCAGGTGACTTCTTCAGCCTCCAAGTGACGAGCCGCTTCCCCCACGCTGCGTCCTGATGAGCAGCACCAACCTTTCACGCGCATACTTAGAGTCTGCATCTTTGTCATCCTCAGACTTTTGGCACAATCGCAGCGAGTACGGAAACTTTAACCAAATGCACGACCCGGAGCTGATCAAGGAAGAAAAGAGGAAAGTCATTGAGGCGGAAATTCGAGTGAAGGTACGGCGAAGGCTCCAGCACACGATCCACCATTGTAAAAGCAATTCTTGGCTCATTTCACAACAAAACACCCGTTTGCTTCTGCTTAGCCTTAAATTAACATTTCGTTTGGTCTTAACAGAGAGTTCGATGCAATGCTTGGGTTTGCCTCACTCACTGGTGATGTTTTGCTTGCACCAGGTCGATGAGCAGATGAGACACGAACTGGCTGAGTGGAAGCTGTCTGTGGATAAAGACAAGGGCGGTAAGACGAAAGCAAACGCCAAGGTACCTGACTGAGAGACGGCGGCTGCAGTTTACGCTGATTCCTTGAAGCATGTTGCTGATTGTGTTTGTTTCTGCAGAAGAAGAAAGGCTCTAAGAGTGGAAAGAAGAAGAAAAAGGAAAAAGACCTGACGGCTGATCGGTGAGGTCACGCGCAGCCTGATTGGATGTTCAGCACAATGCAGAAGAGATTTCATCTTTTATTCACATCTGTAGGACTCTGCAGTCTCTGTGTCGGGAGCTGGTGGAGCAGGGCTTACTGAAGCAGACACGTAATGTTCAGCTGCAGGATTTCTTGGGTAAGACACGACACACTGTGACAGAAATGCTTTTGTCTAATTGTAACTTGTTTTTGTGTGCTTGTGCATGATGTGCTGGTACTCCACAGGAAGTTCACCACTGAGCTGTGTTAAGTAGAAACTATGGCGCGTGGATGTGCTGCCCTCTTCTGGCTCGCGTTGCTAAAACTAATCTCACGCAGTCGTTCGATGTAATGTTGATGATTTTGCACCGACTGTCTATATTCATACGTCACAGTTCAGTTAAGTACAGATTAAATAAAATGCTGTAACTTATTACATCATTTTATATCCCAGCCTTTGTTAAGGTGAGATTTATTCAGTGATTATGGTTTTGCAGAACATTTGTATTGTGTCGATGTGAAACTAACAAACAGGTGACTTGCTGCATACTCCCTAGGCGACTATAGCTACCTGGGGACCACGCTGAGGCAACACGACATTGAGCCCATGCCGTCATTGTCAGATGTGCGACAAGTCATATCTCTGTACGCAGTTCTGCCGTTAGGTATTAAAGCCAGCACCGATCTTTCACATCAACGGGACAGAAAACATCTGTAGTTGAAAATAACATGCGCGTCACTTTCAGGCTCTCAGGTGGTACACGAGAAGGCTCCTCTGATAAAGTCGGTCCTGCTGGTCGGACCCACAGGTGTGGGTAAAAAGATGCTGGTCCATGCGGTTTGCCACGAGACGGGCGCCTGCCTGTTTGATCTGTCTCCCCTGAACACAGCCGGAAAGTACCCAGGCAAGAGCGGGCTCGCCATGATGCTTCACATGGTGTTTAAGGTGAAACGGCCAACCGCAATCAATGCTTTTAATCTCGTGTGTGCAGCACAAATGAGAAGAATTTGGTGATTTAAAGACTTTAAAAAAGGTAAAATCAGACTGCATTCAGATTTTTCTGTCATTATCTTAAAGACTTAAAGTTATGAAGGCAGAACCTTAATGAACTTACATGACAAACTGGTTGATGTCAAGCAGAATAAAGAAGCCAGTGCATAGAAAAATGCGTAACCCAAATAAGGTGGAAGAAAGAGGGCTGAGGCTCACAGACTAGAGTGCATCTAAAGACAGGCTTGTGTTCAGCTGGCGTAGCAGCAGAAATGACCCACATCACCATGAACATTTGCATCCTGCTAAGTTCCTCCTGATCGTTTACAGGTTGCGAGACTGATGCAGCCTTCAGTGATCTGGATCGAAGATGCAGAGAAAATGTTTTACAGGAAAATCCCCAAAGAGGAAAAAGAGGTAAAGCAGACAAAGGGATTGTCGTTGTGTACAAATGTTGTAAAGCTGATTTTTCCATGTGGTTAATAGTTGGACCCTAAGCGGCTGAAGAAAGATTTGCCCAAGTTCCTGAAGCTGATCAAAGGGGAGGATCGCGTTCTGATCATAGGAACGACTCGAGACCCGCACAGCGCCGAGATCAAGTCTCTGTGCAAAATGTTCAGCAAAATCCTCCTCATCCCAAGACCTGACTACGGCTCAAGACGCAGTAAAGACAATTAAACGTCATGTTTTTGTAATGAATGTAACGATATTTCGACGACGTTGGTGTTAAACTTGACTCTGTTTGCCTTCAGTCCTGTGGAAGCAGCTGATCAGAAAACACGGAGGTGAAGGGACCGAGGCGTTGGACCTCAGTTCTCTGGCAAAGATTTCTGACGGCTATACTCCAGGACACATGGTCCAAGTGATTCAGAGCGTTCTTACCAAACATCGAGTCTTCCAGCAGGCAAAACGGCCGCTGACTGCAGCTGAGTTTATCGCCCCGTTAGCCCAGATTGACCCCGTGTTCCAGGAGGAGGAGGAGGCCCTGAAGGTAACGTGGATGTCTTTGATGTAAAGAGTAACTCAACGACAGGCTGAGAAGCAGAATATTGAAGCCCGCTTTACTCTGGCTAAAAATGGACTAAAAGTACTGCGGATCACTTTATATAAAGGTTAAACACGAGATTATTAGAGGTTGTTAACTTACTCTTTAGGATTTGCTTACATTTACATTCTTTGACAGTATTGTTGTCACTGACATTAAAATCATAAAAGGATTTCTTTTTCCAACAGAGCTGGTATGCAAAGACGCCCCTGGGAAAGAAGAGAAGTAAAGCTGCGTCAGGAAAGGAAGAAGAAGAACCAGCTAAAGACAAAAATACCAAGAAGAAAGGAAAAAAATGATCTTTTATTTGTTGTCTTTTACTGAAGTGTGTGAGTTGTACCCTCAGTGAGGCTGTCCTGCGTCAGTAACACACATTAAGCTGCAGTCCCTGTGTTTGCAGCCACATCAGTGAAGTTTCTCTCTTGTGCAGGAGTTACCTGTAAACAGAACGCAGTCGTTTTCAAATCATTAGCATCCTACATTTTATTGAATGCAGTAGTTTGATGATTTTCAATTTTATGTCAGTAAAATGTTTCCAAAACGTTGGGAGGTCTTTTTTTCAGTATGCACGCGGGAACGAGGACGCCCACTTCTGCAGTGCGTTCGTTTTTTCTGCGTTTCGCTCGCTTGGTGTCGGATTTTATCCTCTCAGCTTTGTCATGTTTGTTTGGGTGGATGCCAGGGGCTGTGGGCTTCCATGCAAAGAAGAAGATCTAGATGCAGGTTCTTCATCCTTACTTCTGAATGACCTGTGCTCTCTGAGGTGCAGTTTGTATATATATGTAAATATGACCCTTGACCTGTCAAACTGGTGGACAGACTCCCGTGGCTGTAGCTGTCAGACTGAAGGCTAAGCTGTTATTAGATGTGCCAAGGCGGCTCAGTCAAGGACATTTAATGTTCAGGCTGTGGCTTCCTGGCTGTAGCGCTCGGTTATGAAGGTTAAGGAGATCCTCTTTTCTTTAGGTGTCACACACAAAGCCAGAGTAAAATTCATTTCCAGGGCACCTAGATGACGACAGGAGCCACATTTTAAATAATCACAGCGTGCTGCAGAGTCCTGCAGTGTGCTCTTTGTTATTGCCTCTGTGTGGTGCAGAGAGTCAGGCTCAGAAGAAATGCCAAACACACGAGGGGGAGTGTTTCCAACATGATCCAGAGGCTTAGTTCAGCTGTTTCGTCAAGTTCTAAATTCCCTCGGCAGATCTTCACATTGACTTGGTTCCTTTACCGTGACTCTATTTTTAGAGTTTGTGCACAAAGATCCACATTTCATCATGCAAAGCTCGTCTGTTGGACATCTTCACAGGATCATCTTCAGAAACAGCGACAGCCTTCGAGTCAGAAATACAACGAAATATTTGTTCCTACACCGACTCGATGTTAAACATTGCAATGAATGAGCTTCTGTAAACTGAGACTGGCTTCTGTGGACCACCGTTCTCCTTCTCAGTGATGACAGGTTATTTTCTGTGCCCCACAGAGATAATCTCTGCTGATACCGTTTCACTGGCACATGGGACTGTCTGTCAGACTGAGGTTTACACAATGCTGCCTGGCTCTGGCTTTCTTCTTTTTGATGAGGGATTCCCACAAATCTGAGCTACGTAAAAATTGTTAAAACAATAGCATAAAGGCTGAAGCACGGTTGGCTGCTGGGCTTTGACCGTCTCATTGTAATGTTTCCTGTATTTGGTTTTTGGAGCATACTGAGCTTTTCAGATCCCAGATGCAGCCACACAGACCATAGTTGTGGTCAAAAGGTTACATACAGTAATCATGGACATGGATGTCAGAGTAATTTGAGGTTTTAATGATTTCTTTGAACTTTTAAAAAACAAGAATTGGTGCACAAGTTTGGATTTATTCTGTGTTTTCCTTAACCCCCGCCCCCCCGCCCCAAATAACATTAGGTTAAATGTCCCTTAGCAAAATCTATCCAACCATCGTGAAATTGAGGATTTTGGAGGGTCTCCTTCTTAGGGCCTCCAGTACTACTCACAGCAAAACAGCCCTAGAGCATAATGCTACTACCACCATGCTTGACTCTTTTGGAGAAGGCATTTGGTTTGTCCATGTGTGCGCCTGCAAATTTCAACTGCACTTTAAGGCTTCGATTATGGAGCAGTGGCTTCTGTCTTGGTCGGGATCAGTCTGTGTAAAACTTGTTTTGACTGTGGACAGTGACGCTGGTGTTCCAGCGGTTTCGAGTTCATGACACACTTTAACCCTGGTGGTTTCTGGGCTGTTCCTGAACATCCTCTCATCGGAGGGCGACAGCTTGGCTGGTCTTCCTCAGCAAAGTGGTGACATATCCAAATAACTGGTACTTTTGTCCAGTTGTTTGTGTTTGATCTGCAGCTGTTCTGATGTAGCTCTGTGATGCTTCTCTGATGGACCGTCCCAAAACCCCAACTTCAAATTTACTGACTATGTTTAAAAGCTGGTTCTGCACCAGGAAACCCACCAGGCCGTGATGAGTGGTGAAATATGCAGCCAGAGTTATGCCCGAGGCTCCAAAGGTGTCTTATGAAGGTGGGACTTGATTTGATTTTACATATGCGTATGTATGCTTTGACCCTGTGTGGATGACAGAAAATCCTACATTCAAACTTGTTTTGTAAAGATTTTAAGGACGTATGCATCTTTCATGACCTTTTAGCATTAACAGTGGAAGAAACCACCTCTTTCCTGTTACCTGTTTGACGTCTGTATCTGTAACAGGTTTTAGACACTGTGGCACATGTGGGTCGGGGTTGCACAGAGCAGGCGATTAAACCCCATCAGCCTCATGGTGCAGAGACTCGTCTGATGCTGTTCAGTCATTTTGGTCTCGTTGTTGAGAGAAAATGCTGCAGACCTTCTGATGCAATACAAAGGTTGCTTTAAAATAAGGTGAATCTACGTTTTATTGTCATGTTTCTAAGCTGGTCAACCCCTCATTGATGCACGGTGGAAAACCATCAGAGACACTGGGACCACTGTTTACATTCTGATTGTTTTTCATGGTTCCAGTGATGTCGAGCATATGGTGCCTTGCACCATTAAAGCCAAAGCTATCTTTGCCCTCATACTGACAGAAGGCTATTTTGGAGGTTAGTGTGTGGGGAGAGATATGTCAGCTGTTCAGCACCATGCTCCATAACAGCAGGAAAAAAAGAGAAAGCGCCATAGCCTGTCAACTTTGGGAACTGGGATGCACAAGGAGGCATGGACACGCTCTTTGGTGGATTAAATGCATCTTGTTAACCTTAAAGGCTCTGTGAGAAACAGCACAGCACTCCCAAAGGATCAGTGGCCACGCTGGAGGTTTCATCCAGCTCGTGTTTGCTTTGGATAAAGTAGTTTTGCTTTTTTGAAACAGGTGCAGAAACAGTGCATGCAGGCATGTGTTCGTCCTATAGATCACCTGCTTAGTTTGAGAGCTGGTGCATTGGTGCAGGTAAGCTTATGTATTCTTCTTTAATTTGGAAATGTGTATAGAAATGATATTTTTTATTTTTGCAGTTGAATATAGCCAACAAGAAACCCTGTTGAATAGAGTATCACTGGAATATAGTTGAATTATATTGCAGAGTTGTATTAAGCTGCTTTGCTGTATTGCTCTGAAAGGATTTCAGTTTTTATTTCTCTGGTGTTTATTTTGCAGAATAGATTTGAATAGGCTTATGATAAAATATTAGGTAATCTAGATAACTGGTTCCAAAGACAGTGCCGTGTGTGACGCATCATAAAATACCATTTTAGCTGTAGGTAATGTAATGGAGCAGACTGGCCTATGCTTGGAGTGCTGCTGGGAGGAGCTGGCGTGTTTGATGATCTCAAATATCACATCAATCGGTCGATCGCTTGTTGGCTTTTCAGAGCTTTCCCTTCCTCTGAGTTCAGCTCATGTTGCCTTATGGAGGTTTGATCACAGCTGAGTCTATATTGGTGGGGATGAACTCAGCCAAGTGCGGTGACAGAGATTACTCTGCTCTTCATTACTGACTGGCACGCCATCACAGGGATCAACAACATGAGACACTGATGCCATGTATATCCAGTTTGATGGGGTTACCATTTTGGACGTTGAGGTTTGATGGTTAGCCTGAAAGGAATTAATCTGTTTTTGCAATGATGTCCAAAAGATTTAAGCACTTATGCAGAAATCAGTAATGTCTGTACCCCTGAACTGTGAGCTGAATGAGTTCGTGGAAAAGCTGATTTCTCTTTTTGTAACACGGTTAGACAACATATCATGACTCAGGGTCACCTCGGGTACGTTTGTATTTGCAGCCTGCTGACTGTGATAGAAAACAAACTTCTCCAGTCAAGAACAAGAGACATGGGAGACAATAAGCCTGGAGGAATAGTAGCAGCTGCAAGTATGTTTATTTCTAAATGCATTTGTGCTTTTTCAACAGAGTTCTCACCATGAGTCAAAGGCCTTTAGGCCTCTAACGCCGCCTGTGTGTGTGTGTTTGCCAGAGAACCGTCTGCAGGTGGTGAAGGGATTGGATGACGCAGAGGTCTCAGAGTGTGAGAGCTGCTCCTTTGAGGTATCTCTTAACCTAGCCTACATAGAGGGCGTGTGGATGAGGGATGGGACGCAGCTCAAATCTAAACCCAACTGTCGCATCAGCACACACGGGAAGAAACACTCCCTCTTACTGAACAGGGTGGCTTTGGGAGATGCCGGTTTGTTCTCCTTCCAAGCTAATGGCATTCAGACCTCAGGCCGACTCACTGTCAGAGGTAATGTGACAGAACTACTTGCATGCTCACAGGATTGAATGTTTTTATATGGCCCAGACCATCTCTGTGTTAGATCCCAAAATCAGGTCAGTGACTTTCTCCGGGGCTTCGATAACCTGAACCACTAACTCGAGGTTCATACGTGTTTTTAAGAGGCTGTAGTTTCTGCAGTGAAGTGCATGCTGTAGTTGAAATGTCCAACAACTGCTGGACTTGGACAGACGGTGTTAATCAGTGTTATGAACCCAACAAAGCTATGGAACCGCAGAACATACAGTCCCAGCGCACCGTCTTTCATTTTAGTTCGTTCAGGCGATCGTGGCTCAGAGTTGGGAGTTCGTCTTGTAATCGGAAGGTTGCCGGTTCGAGCCCCGGCTCCGACAGTCTCGGTCGTTGTGTCCTTGGGCAAGACACTTCACCCGTTGCCTACTGGTGGTGGTCAGAGGGCCCGGTGGCGCCAGTGTCCGGCAGCCTCGCCTCTGTCAGTGCGCCCCAGGGTGGCTGTGGCTACAACATAGCTGCCATCACCAGTGTGTGGATGTGTGTGTGGATGACTGGATATGTAAAGCGCTTTGGGGTCCTTAGGGACTAGTAAAGCTATACAAATACAGGCCATTTAGTTCAATAAATAAATAATGATATGGAGTAATATGTCAGATTGTAGTTAGCCAATATTTTAGTGGCAAAAAGCTCTCTTTGGTTACTTTCACTAAGTTTCGAGTCATAGTGTGGATATTTCCTGCCAGCTAGGGACATTCACATCGTGAAGGAGCTGGAAGATGTCGACACAGTCGAGCGTCAACCTGTAACCTTCGTGTGCGAGGTCAGCCAGATGGATGTGGATGGTCGGTGGTACAGAGATGACTGCCGGATCCGTCCTGGGGACAGCATCAAGATCAGACACCAAGGTAAAAGATCAGTTATCTTAGCAGTAGACCTTATTTTGGGGGAGCTAGCCTTATAGTTGCTTGAACTGATGGGCTTCAGTCATTGGTACCTGAACCATAAGGGGAACTCTGAGAATTAACCGAGGAACAGGTAATAAGCAGAATAAAATACTGGGTTTAATGTGATTTCAGGTGAAACTCATTCTCTGTCCTTCAAGTCAGTCAGACCAGAACATGCAGGAGAGATCAGGTTCACGGCAGAGCGAGTCTCATCCTGTGCAACCCTCACGGTACAAGGTGAGCCCCGAGATTCTCACCTCACACTGGGCATGAAGGAAATCCTGATGAACACACAAGAAATAGCTCTTATAAAACAATAAAGATCATAAAACCTGAGTTTATTCTTCCACTCTCAGAGCTTCCAGTCCAAATAGTGCGTCCTCTGAGAGTAAAAATCGCCATGTATCGCCACCGAGGTCTGCTAGAGTGCCAGGTGTCACGGCCTAACGCTGAGGTCAGGTGGTACAAGAACAGGAAGGAGCTACTTCCCAGCAAGAAGTATCAGCTAATCAGCCAAGATATCTACAGGCAGCTTGCTATCAATGACGTCTGCTCGTCAGATGAAGACACCTATACATGTGACGCGCAGGATGATAAAACCTCCTGCCAGCTTCTGGTGGAGGGTGAGGTTCTCACACTTATGAAATCAAACTATGATGTCAGGAGCTGTGCAGTAGAGGTAATATGTATTATGCTGTACGTGCAGAGCAGGCTATCACCATAGTGCGGGGGATGAAATCGGTGGAGGTGATGGAGCCAGAGCCTGCACGATTCCAGGTAGAGACCAACTTGAAATCAGGGAGGCCACCAAAGTGGACGCTGAACGGTGAGGTCATGGAGCCATGCGCGGCAGTGGACATTGACAGGGAGGCCACCCTCCACAGCCTGTGCTTCACCTCCACAGAAAGCTCCATGTCAGGCCCGGTGGTCTTTGTCGCTGGCAAGAGTCGTTCCACCGCTCAGCTTACGGTTAAAGGTGAATCTCCCACACCGCCTCAAGCTGATAACATGGTATTCTCCAGTGAAATAATGGAAACACGCTGCTGAACAACTAAACCTGTCTCCCCTTTTAGAGCGGCCTCTTCAGGTGGTCCACCACTTGGATGACGTGGAGGCAAAAGAGAGCAGCTCTGTGACTCTGAGCTGTGAGTTCGCCCCATCTCCCAGGGTGGTGCGCTGGTTTAAGGGCCGCACAGCTCT